CCTTTCGGAGGGTTGAAAGGGATGGCATATAAAGGTTTTAAATAAATAAATAATTTCATTCTTTCAACAGACAGACATACTCATACAGTGGAGAGGTTGTAGGACTACTGAGAGAGACTCACATCCAGTGGCAATGCATGTGAGCCACCAGAATGACAGGAGAATGAGAAAGCCTACTGGTTTATATGAATATGCAAATATGCATACATCTGCATGCATATATGGCTGTGATTGTTTTACCTAAAATATTCTGATGCAGTATACATTTAAACATACCCTTTAAATGCGTGAATGTGACATTTAACAAGGTCAAATGAGGCAGGTAGTGTTCACTAGAGAGTTCTGCAGGCCTACTCACTACCTAAATAAGAGCATATATTCTATATAAAAAAAAATCTGTTAGTGGTGAATTGCCTTTTAAAGAAATTATACATGCTCTTCACACTAATGATTCCATAGTCATGTCTGTCTGTCTGTTGCTATCCAAGTGGTCTTCACACTTTGAGCCTCCACCTGTTTTAGATGTACATACCCCAGTCAGCCTGGTCAAGGATATTCTGGGCACTGACGTTGAAACTAACATGAAGGCAATGGCTGGGGAATGTTGTCTAGTCCATAGCAAAACATACAAAAGACATCTGTCAACACACACACAACAGGCAAACTTACCCAAGAAGTAGACTCCAGACTACGATAGTCTGTTTGATAGGATCTTCGATTAGATGGACTTAAATCCATTCTATTTAGAAACTGGGTGTTTTTTCTGTAGAAACAATATGATCAAAATTAGATATTCCAGGGGGGAAGTTAAGTTTTGATATTTCTCTATATTCTATTCAAGACACATGACATGACTCAATACTAGGAAACATAACAAAAAATTAGAAATACAGGGAGGCGGCTTGCCACTGAAAGAATGCTACTGATAGCAGTTGCCATTTCCCAGATTGGTTCCTTGCAGATATGTTAGTGTATTGGGCCAATTATTCCCAACCTGCCAAGCTTGTTACCACTGTGAACATGGTAGTATCAGCTACTCTGGGAATTAGTATTGTTCTGAAGGCAGTTTCACCTCATCAAGCCCTTCCTATCTATTGTTCTAAGATGAGACAGACACTGATCCCATTACTCTTGTCACTGTCCTTCCAAATGAAATTGAAAGTAGAAGCGTCTGTAAGAGATCCTGAGTTCCATAATGAAAAGGTAGTCTGCCATCATAGCAGCCCGCCCATCCCTTCCACAGAATGACATTATTTAGAAATACCGCCTGCCCTAAGACAGTGTGTTTCCTTCCTCCACACCCTAATTTTAGCCAGGCTATCCTGCTTGGTAAACAATGCAAGTATCAGGTAATCTAAACTTGTTTTCTGTGATAGCAATGGCTGGAATGAGATCAATAGGAAATTTCACAGCGTCATCTTATTTCAGTTCTCATTAACTTTTCCAATTAGCCATTTTTATTGCCAATACCTTGATGTTATTTCACGTCTCTTTCTTGGCTGCTGGCATAGTTTCTCTGCTTGCCCACCTTCCTTTTACACTAACCTATTAGGGTGATGCTGGAGGCAATTTCAGGCATCAAGATTTCATTTATTATTTTGAAACAGTTGACATGAATCCCACAGACCAAGGAAATTACAGCTCTGAGTACACTGTGGAGGTCTTGCCTTGCAAGCCGTCGTAGGCTCCCCATCTGTATGGCCAATCTGTTCCTATATTTTCAGCCAGCTTGAGTGGGCAGATTAATGGGCACAATTAGAAGGTGCCCTCGCAGGCATTCAAACTGCCTTCATTACTGCACTCGAGAGGGGGGTCTATAGAAGCCTAGTTTTCTGCCAGTTAGCAAAGTACTTGATTCTAGCAAAAAAAAAATATAGCAGCAAAAACAAAACTAGACACACCAATGAAAGCAGCAAGTCTAATACAGATGTAAATCCTTGCCTATCTTCATTTTCATGTATGGCAACAAGAAACCACAAAACACTTCCCATCACTTACAGGGTGATTTTCTGTTGGTAAGATTTTTTGCATTTTTGTATAGGTGAGTTATGAGAGCTACAGTTGTACTGGACTGACATTTAAAATCCGGAACACTGTATGGGCTGTTAGTACATCATTAGGCTTGCTGTATCTGTCTGCTTTGCATCATAATAAGAAAGAAAGACTAATTTTTGGGGAAACATTGTGCACAAATGCAGAATATTTGCCCATCCCTCATGTAAGGTGTTTCTTGCTATTGATGACAGACCAGGATGTGGTGCCACTTCTCCAGTTTTGATTCATGAGGCCTTTAACTATGAAGGCGGATATTTGAATAATCAAACGTGAACAACTCCTGTTTGGTTCAGATCCCCCGCCAGAAAATGTGGCCCTTGTGTTGTTTTAGCAAAATTCTGCTAAAAATGGGTTGTTAGCAGAACAATCTATTGCAAAAGACTTATTGAGATGAGTGAGTTTCCCTTGATACAAAATAAGGAACACCTTAGCCATATCTAGGCTCCCCCACACCTAAAAAAGATCCTAAACAAATCCAATGGGGTGTACATTTCTATTTGGGATAGATTTAGGTTATAGGCATGCTTCATTTAACAAAAGCAGCTCATTTTTACAAAATCTTTATATACCCATCAAGCCTTCTTTCCTCCTTGTTTTCTTTATAGTTCAGTGGTTCCCAGCCATCAGGCCTCCAGGTNCAAAGGTTGGGAACCATTGGTGTAGTTGGACTTTTATTTAGCAGTAGTGGCGTGGAGAGGAGGATGAAGGAAAGATGGAGAAACATAAATTTTTGTTCTTGGATTGCAACATCACATCTGCAGTAAACAATTCAATAAAACTTGGGCTGGGAAAGAATTCTAACTAACTTCTGCTACAGTGGCTTTGTGTGCATGTCTGTCACAGGCAAG